GCGCCCCCTGCCGGCCTCGGCCTGCAGCCCCCCTGCGCCGAGCGGACCAGGTAAGCGGGGCCGCTTTGCCTCTGGGTTCGGTGGTCCTCCCCACACCCCCAGTTCTAAATGATCATGTGTGGCTTTCTGTGTCACGCTGGCATCAAAGAAGTCACCCTCAGCTCCCTGGATTATCATGGAAGACCGGGCTTTCCCACAGTAGCATCCCCAAGCATCTAGACGGTGGCAGCTTGCTCAAGCGGAGTCAGGAATTTTAAGTTTCCCCAACTCTCCATTTCCCCTTCCTGTGCCTTTGTCATTACCCTATTTTGAAATGTAGAGTTTCAGTGTTTCTTCCTTCTCCTCTACTTTTAGGTGGGTAGTGGCTATTTTTGCTGCTAAAATGGGTGCAAATCAGGAAAGGAGAGGAGGTGACATAGTAGGCCGGTGACCTTTGCAGCATGGTACATGTTCTGTTTGCACTTCTTTAAGGGAAGAAAAAAGAGACGCGTTTATTGCATTGCTAGTTTGGTGAACATTAACTGAGAACTCTCTCTGTCCAAAGATGAAAAGAGACAATCACTACCTTCAAGGAGTTCGCATTCCAGTGAGCAAACTGGCAGTGACAAATAATGACAGTGCTCAGTTATGCATGCTCAGGGTGGCTGGGAAGGTGAGGGCACCTGGCACTTCCTTGAAAGAGGCGTGGTCAGAGGAGGGGGATTCTGCAAGTGGAAATTGCACCGTGAAACAACGTCGGTGTTTGTTTTTATCTGTTCTCAAACAGCAATTCAGAAAACTAGAAATGCTGCTTCAAATGAGATACTGCTGTGCCTCTTGTTAGGGGACAAGGCAAGCCTTCGTGGCCGCTGTGGTAAAAATTTGGAGACTTTGGGAAGCTGAATCTTCTAACCCAAATTCTTCCTCAAACACACACACATACCCCTATTGCTGAAATGAAAATGAGGGGATGGCAGCCTTTTTTTTTTTTCTTTATTGAGTAGAAGGTATTTTCACGGTGAAGGGGACCATCTTAGAATTGGGGAGGGTGACCAGACACTGGGTGTGCTGGGGTTGCTGCTGATGGCTCCAACTCAGAGAGGACACCTGGTCATGGCTGTGCACCTGCTGGACTTCAGGTCAACTCGAGAGATGCAGAAGAGGGCAGAGCGTGCACTGGAGAAGTGAGGAAAAGGACATGTGACCAGGACATTGGCCGGGACGGTTTCCTTTTAGGACATTCACCAGCTTCATCTGGATTTCCTTTCTTATAAGAGAGACTCAGTGCATGTGGTATTTGGCATACAAATGTTTCTAAAAAATGCTCCTTGAAGATGAATTCCCTCCAGGCTCTGAAGGCATTCCAGAATGTTATGGATGGATGGCCTTGCAGAGTCAGTTGCGGGTAGGGAATGTCCATCCCCCACTGGTTCAGATTATTTAAAAGATCGGTCACGTTGCTGTAGGGCCATACCTCATCCTTTTCCTTTCCCTGGGTTGAGTGGTTCTGTAGCTTTTCTTTGCGAGTTAGTGTTTCTATTTGTCATACGCTGTTCTCTTTTTCCCTCCCCACACGGACTCCTCCCAGTACAAACAAATGGGTCTTCCATTGTTTTTGTGTGTTTTTTCTGTTTTCTGGACATTGGCAGCACAGGTGATGTTGCCTCCAGTGGCTGGATTTCTGTTAGGGCTCCCCCCTCCTGAGCACCACAGGCCCTCCCTTCCCGGGCCCTTGCCTCAGCTCCTTCCCTTCCAGGCCTGGCAGCTCAGTCCAGCCAGACTCTGTCTCTGCATCCCGCTCAACGGCTTGCCATTAGCACTAACCGCACCCTCTGCTTCCCGCCCTTGGCACCCAGCTCACTGACTGATCCTGCATCTCTACAACTAACCTGTCCTCAAAAGTGCCTTAACTGTGCCTCATTCATCTAGCACTCTGAGTAACCACACTATAGCTCACCTCTCTCCTTTGGGTCAGCTGCACCTGTTCTACAGAGAGGGGATCCAGGTAAGCAGGTGAACATGGGTTTCTGTGCCGGAGAAAATGTGCAGGTGGAGGGAAGAGGAGGAAGAGCTCATCTCTGGATTCCTTGGACAGATAGATTTCTTGTCTATCCAAAGGATGGAAGAAGAGTCTGTTGCCCCACAGGCAATTTTTTCCCTTGCTTGTTTTGTGTTTTTTTCTTGTTTTTAAATTTTTTTTTTACCTTCCCCTTGATGGTGGCAAAGAAGGTGGAAGGGTAGGTAGAGACTTGACATTAATTCCTGGGTGCCTGGTAACTTTGAGCCTGGGAAGAATAAAAGATAAGTCCTTGTTCAGCCTGCATGAGGCAAGGGTGAATTTCTGTTTCTGTCTTTCCTTAATAGAATGGAGAAAGAACTTGTTGCGATAAAAAGGCATTTTTCCCTTGGGGATTTCCTTAGGGGTAGTGAAAACTCATCCTGAGAGGGAGAGTGTGTGCTGCTACCTTGAATGGGGTCTTTCTTTTACTCTTTCCCTTGGGGAAAGCTGCTTATAGTTTGATGTTTGCTGTTCCAGCCCAATTCCCTACTCCCAGCCTTTCTCACCAGACCCCAGTGGGCATGAGTCGTATATTTCTATTGGTATTTCCTCCAAATTAATATTTGGAGTTTCTAGGGAAATAGTTTGATGTTTGCTGTTCCAGCCCAATTCCCTACTCCCAGCCTTTCTCACCAGACCCCAGTAGGCATGAGTCGTATATTTCTATTGGTATTTCCTCCAAATTAATATTTGGAGTTTCTAGGGAAAAAATAGGCCATGCCTGCTTTTGTGGGAGAAGAAACAGCCACTGCAAAGGCTTTAGGCTCCCAGACTTCCCACGCCCCACCTAAGGGCATCAGAATCCAGGTAGGTTCAAGCAAGGATGACAGATTCCCAATTCCAGGGCATCTCTCCTGAATCACCAGGGGCTACCTGGAGTATTTTGTTGGAAAGGAGTGAGAACACCTGGAGAAGAAACATGGAGATCAGTTGGTGGTATCTACCATGGATGGTGTGTTGGGGGCTGGGAGGGCGTGAAGATCTGTTGCGTATTTGCCATCCCTGATCTGTGGCATCGGGTTGAGGAGGGTGTCTTCTAACATGTACTTCATCCTTAGGAGAAGGCCTGGGGAAGAGCCTCGCAATGAGGATGATCCTCTTTAGGACCTGGTGACCTAGGGCATCTCGGTGTCAATTTAAGTGATGCTAGAGGCCAGTTCCTCACTGCCACTGACCCTCACCCCTGTAAGCCTCGAGGACTGGGACTTGGACTGGTCCACATTCAGGAGCACTTCTGCTGGGACCTGTTACTGAGTTTGAGGATGGGCCCCAGAATTCGTCCTCTGCTGGGGGGTGTGATAGAGCCTTCAGGAAAACAGCTGGAGAGCTGTGGCCACCAGCTTGGCAGCATGAGCCTGCATCAGCAGCCCTTGTTGGGCACACTGACCCTAAGAAATCCTCTTGGCTCTGCTATGCTGTGGATATAGAACGGAGAAGAACACTTTGGTGTTCCAGTTGCAGAATGTTCTAGAATTCTCGTGTTGATGACAGGATGGGTATGCTCAGGGGGGGCCTGCGTCATGTTTCTTATGGCCTCCTTGAGGAGAGGGTGCAGAAGCATGATCAGGAAGCTGGCAGTGAGTGCCAGGTGCCACAGACTTGTTGAATCCAGGCCATTAGAGCTTCAGGAAGGGACAGTCACCACATGGGACACCTTTGAAGGCTTTAAGAAGGGACTGAGACCAAACAGAGCTGGGGCAGACTTTAGTGGGGCCCAGAAGAACATGTAGGCTTGCAGTCAGCAAGGCTGGTGCTGGAGTGTACTTGACTTCAGAGGTTCTCTTTTGTCCTGTGTGCTTGTGTTTCAGCACGTCTAAAAGCAAGGAGCTTTCTCCAGGGTCTGGGCAGAAAGGAAGTCCAGGCTCCAGCCAGGGGACAGCCTGTGCAGGGACACAGCCAGGAGTGCAACCAGGCACCAGCCCCAGCCAGTCACCTGCAGACCAGAGTCCTCACACCCTCCGGAAAGGTATGTCCCCTCTTCCCTTCTCATCGGTCTCAGGCCAGAAGTGGCTGTTGCATTCCTGAAGCCTCATGCCCCTTGATTAGCATGGATATTAAGAAACCATGTGGTTTAGTGAACAACTTCCAGTGTAGGCATCAGAGCTTTTGACATTAACCAACCCTAAGAGGGATCATTTCACCATTATGTCTCGGTTTACTCATTCAAAAAGTAAGCTTTATAGGGGCATGTATAGGACAATGCTTCCCATACACCCAGTGGATCCACTAGTGCAGAAATCACTGTCCAGGATGACATGTGTCTTCAGTGGACCTGGCAGGCTCTGCCTCCATTGTTTGAGAAGCTCAGACTCAGGAGTTAGGGTGTGTGCCCCAGAAGAAACTACATCTTGAAGGTTGAGCAGAAGTTGAGCCAAAGCAGGAGTGGTGGGATTTTAGCATTCCAGGGCTTTTCTCCAGCACCAACTGGTTTCCCTGCGGTCTGGGTAGGGTGTGTGCCCCAGAAGAAACTACATCTTGAAGGTTGAGCAGAAGTTGAGCCAAAGCAGGAGTAGTGGGATTTTAGCATTCCAGGGCTTTTCTCCAGCACCAACTGGTTTCCCTGCGGTCTGGGTACTGTAGTTCTGTGCCATGTCTTTGTTTCTGAGTCCTTTAACCTCCCCCAGCCCTACAAGGCAGGGTGATGGCTCTGCCATTGTTTTGTCCCATGGGATCATCAGGCTCCTGTTGCAGCCAGTCAGCTTCCTAGTGCCAGTGACAGGTTGACTCTTTAGTTTTTCCAGCACATCAGACCTATGCAGGGAATGTAACCTAGAATGACTTGGGTCTCTTTCCCAAGTGACATTCAATAGCTCAGAGATGTCTTTGGGAAGGTATAACTCTCTTCTTTACTTCCCATCATTGCCCCCAAGTGGCAGACTTAGGTCTTTTTTTGCTGGACCCTCAATATTTTGAAAGTGTGCCTTTAATTTAACAGCATGGCCCAGTCCTGTTGCCACCCAGAAGTAGTCAGTGTCATCACAGACTTGGAGATGTCACTGTGACCTCCCTCTTCCAGCTCGTGGGTGAGAGGGTATGGTCCAGCACTGGTGCTGAGGGCTTCCGCGTGCTCCTCATCTGGTGGACTAACTCTTCCACCTGCCACCCTGGGCTGCAGTAGCAGCTCTGGGAACGCTCATCTGTACTCAGGAAGTAGAGCTGAAAAGTGAAATTGAAAAATTAAGTGTTTTTATTGTAAGTCATGAGTATATGGTGCTTTACATACATGATCCCACTTTATTATCACAGCGCTGTGGAGAAAATATTATTCTTCCCACTGTATAGAAGAGGCTTGAACGAATTGCCCTATGGCATACAGCCAGTAAGTGGAGAATAGAAATTTGAGCCCAAGTTGGTAGGACTCTGAAGAGCATGTCCTGTTCTTGTCCACACTGCAGACTGGATAAGCCAGGAAACACGAGGTATCATTAGAAGAGATTTTGTTCTTCGGGGGAGAGGGGGAGGGAGGAAGGGTCTCTGATGCCTCCCCGACGACTCGAATCAGTGCCACCCACAGCCAGCCCTCACTTAATTCTCCCAGATCAGTGATCACTTTCGCACATCTCCTCGATGTTTGAATCTGTCATCTTCGCAAGTTCATGTTCAACTAGAGGTATAGCGTGTTTGCCGTCCTTCAGAGCTATTAGTGGAAAGAGGAATGTGAAAGTGATGCAGAGGAGGTTGGGGCGATGATGTGCTTTGAACGAGGCAGTTGATCGTCACACCCAAGGGTGCAGTTCTTGAAAGAAAATATGAACAAAGAAGAAACCTTGGCAACAGGGATGCAGGACGGAGGCAGGGAACGTGAAGGGATGAGGTAGGAGGCTTCTGTGGCTGGAGGATTGGGTCACACGCCACTGTGCTGGGAGCCAGAAGCCTCTGGACAGATTCATCCGAAAGTCAGTTTCCTTCCGATCTCAAATACTTGTCAGGGCTCTGCTGCAGCAGATTGAACTTGAATCCTCCTCCATTCAACCCGGTCTCACTGGCTCACTCTTCCTCGGGGTGTAGCGTGACACCTCTCACGACTGGGGAGCCAGCCGCTGCCCGCGGATGGGGAATTGGTTCTCCGGTTTGGCTGGGTTGTGTGTGTGTGTAGAGTGTGGCAGGAATCCAGGAAAGAGGAGAAATTAGTTAACAGATGGAAAGAGATGAAAACTTGCAGTTCTAGGTGAATTTTTAAAAATCGTATGGGCTGCTGTCAGTGCGGCACGAGGCGTGGGCAGGTGGCGTGGGTGATGACAGGAGGAGGGGTGGCCGCTCTGAATGGTTAGGGCTGTGCAAACAGTGCATGCAGTGGGCTTCATTTAACAACCTTGTGTTTTGTTGTGTTTTCCTTTTTAGTTTCAAAGAAGCTGGCACCAATTCCACCCAAGGTCCCCTTTGGCCAGCCAGGGGCTATGACTGACCAGTCTACCAGCCAGCCGTCCCCCGTCAGCCTGTCACCTACCCCGCCGAGCACCCCGTCACCCTATGGACTGAGCTACCCTCAGGGCTACTCCTTGGCCTCGGGCCAGCTCTCCCCGGCTGCCGCTCCCCCCCTGGCTGCTCCTTCCGTCTTCACAAGCACTTTAACCAAATCGAGGCCCACTCCTAAGCCCCGACAGAGACCCACTCTGCCACCTCCTCAGCCTCCCACAGTAAACCTCGCGGCCTCTAGTCCACAGTCCACGGAGCACCCCCTGCTAGATGGCATGTCCCCTGGGGAAAGCATGTCCACAGGTAACCAAGCCACAAGCTCCCTCTGATTTTTCTATGAACCATAGCGGAATCTGCCTAGGGGAGGGGTTGTTAATGTCACTACCAATTAACAGATTCCTGTTTGCTGTGAGGTGGCTGTGCTGGTGCCATGGGTAGCTTATAAGATGATCTTAGAAGCTCACCTGTGGAAAGCAGCCCTGGAGTCAAGTTTTCCTGCAGAAAGGCTGCTTATGGGATTTCTCCCCATCTAAGCCCACCAGCACATGGTTCTGTTTCTGCTCTAAATTGCGGGGGAGGGGTTTAAGCATCCCAAATCCTTTAGAGTGGGGCTTGAGGAGGAACTGGAAGCTGGTTATGATCGCAGAACAGCTGGCATCAAAACTCAGGTGAGGTATTTGAGGTTTACCCTGGATAGAGCCCAAGCAGCTAAACAGTTATAAATGCTTATGGGGGAACAGGGGCTAAGAGCCAAAGATATTTTTTCTTTTTAGTAAAATAAACATTGTTAGAAAAAAATATTTCTGGATATACATTTAGAGAGGGGTCAGTTTCAGAAAAGACACATGCCACCCCCTCCCAGCACCATTCCATGAGGAGCTAATTGGACACACCCACAACTACTTTAGTTTTGCTTTAAATGTAAAAACAAAGATGGAGCTGTCTTCCTGCAGAAGGATGTGTAAGCATGAAATCACAAACACTTCACATTTAGCAAACACCATTTATTGGTTGGAAGAAACTAGAAACATTTTTGAAATGTCTTCTTAGACACTTTGACCACATAAGATTATAACATCAGGGGCATATTGATGGTGGCTACTAAAGCCATTTGAGCTCCTTCCTTGTTTGGGGAGACAGGCGGAGTGTTGGGCAGTGTCTTAGAATAGAGCCAGCCCATCTCACCACATGGCAGAGAGCCCGAGTGTAGCTGTTATGTGTTGTCCTGGGTAGTGCGAGGTGCGGTAGCACCTTGGTTTGAAATAAACATACACAGACACACCATACACAGACACACCATACACAGACACACCACACACACACCACACACACACACCACACACACACACCACACACACACACCACACACACACACCACACACACACACCACACAGACACACCATACACAGACACACCACACACACACCACACACACACACCACACACACACACACACACACATACCACACACACACACCACACACACACACACACACGCCACACACACACACACACCACACACACACACACCACACACACACACACACCACACACACACA